ACATAGTTGATTGATGCACGATGCCATTATCGTGCAGATTTAATGAGGATGTTAATCCTTTGCAACTCTGAGATTGTAGCTATGCATATAATCATAATTATAATCATAATCTCGCCAAACGATACTAAAGTTATAAGGTCAGTAGTATTTATTAAAGTATTAACAAATGTACTTTTAAATGTAATATTTGGTTGAAATATTGGTGCCGTCCAGTAACTCCGGCTTAAGTGTTTATAAACATGATCGAAGAAATGGCGGAGTGAAGAGATAACGCCGCCTAGTAACAGTTGATCGTACGAAGGGTATGGCGCTCCAGGTTATGTGGAAGATTTCTGATAAAGAGATTAAAAGGTTTTGGTCCTGGTAACTATGCGTCTTTTACCTATTCGCTCGCCAGCGTGCAATTACATATTACGTAGCCAGTAGAGGCTCATACCAGGAGTACTAGAGGTATGATCCAGTAGAATTTGACATGATGATATCTATATTGAAGTATAATTTTGAGTAATTCTAGTCTGGTCAAAAGTATCTGTTATTTTGAAATATTTTTATCGTAATGAGCTTGACGAAACAGTTAGTGATTCTGCACTAACTTGACGTAACACGACCAAAATTGAACGGGGAATCGTTGGATATCACTTTCGAGACACCTCGACAAAACCTACTCACGCCGCATTATCCTGCTTCGTGTTTGTATGTTACCTTGAGTGCTGCACTCAAAATTTCAAGTGCACGATAAAAGGGGATACAATAATACACAAAATCAGACAGAATTAGTAGGAGTAGTATAGGAATAATTTAAAATAAATTAAAATAAAGATGAAAGGGACGGTCGGGGACCGTTGCTATATTATCTGACATGGTATTGCTATCGTGCAAACCAATCGGAACATAAGGAAGCATCACATTACAGTTATATATCTGGTCGCAGACAACGTCGCTTAATCAAGCGCGAAGTAACGCAAAGTATAAACTATAAAAGTTCTTGTCAAACTAACTTTTACATTTCAAGAGAAGAAACTGTAAACTGTGGTTTAACGGAGAAATACAGTTTATCTTGATGGTTCATGATTAAAGCCAAAACTTAAACGATACTTGGGGATTTTTAAAACTTTGGCAATGATTGTACCAAGGTTTTTAAAAATTGTTCTCGGTTAGTCCTATTTATGAGAATTACACCGGGCAAGGAATTCTTGCATATAGGACCAACCGAAAAATTTTTTGTAAAACGATGGTGCAATCATATTGGACCGCAAGGAAAACAATACAGAGTATACAATAGACTGGAGAACTAAATCTAATAGCTACACGGCGGGGGCAGAATACTACAATCCTTCTGAGCCAGCAAGAGCCAGCCTATATCGTTGGAATCAAATTCAATATTGATTGTATTCGATCTATTATGATCCTCAGGCATATGGTCAATACTTAAACATTATTAAATAATAACCGCTTAGTTGAAATATCATCGATGATCAATATTGATTTTTTAAACTGCTTATCGCAGTTGCCGGAATTAATATCCTCAATTAAATAGTCGGGGCATTATGACAAAATTTCGAATTGATTTGCCACAATCATTTATGTGCAGGAGTGTGTTGTCCATACTCCATAGACGCAGAAACCACCACAAGGTGGATCTGATGGGAACTATTAGCTAGAGTAGTTATAGAGCATAATATCATCTCAATGCGCCCTACTTATTTGATTCTGCTGTTAGGAAAGTACTCCGTAGCTCAATATTCGCGATGGTCACATTATCACAGGAGAATGGAGGTTTGGAAGTGCGTTCCCGCATACTTGTTCCCAAATTCAAGAACCAATTTATACAAGTTATGCAGAATTAGAAACTGTTTAGTAGGGAAGTTCCTGCTGGTGGTGAAAGCTAACTTTCTAACCTTCTGGTCTCTCTTTCCTTAGAATACAATAGTACAATAGAGTTCGTAACTCCGTGTAGAGGTGCAGGTGAGAAGTATGAAGTCAGCGGAGGTCACTACTTTGGCGTGCTGGGATAATCCTGAGGTTTTACTTTGCTGGACTACTGGAGCGAATGATTACATACTGTCTGTGGTCTGTGATTTCTGAAACCAGGTTCTGATTGAACCACTGTAGTTGTTCTTCAATCTTCATCATTCTTCAGCCTTCCTCTAGGCTGACATTAAATCAGCATGATGGTTATGAGGTTTCACTCCCAGCTGTATTTAGGGATAGGATGTTATCTGACAGAGGGAGAGAGCAGTGGTAGACACACTTAGTAGGCATGAAGTAGATGTCTTCTTTTGATTGGTCGGCGTCGACTGTAAGCCTTCCTTGCGGTGGCTTTCACAACGCGTCCCCATTCTCTAACTCCTGCTGCTAGAGAGAGAGACTCCCAAGTTATATACCATAATTATATTATACATAGATATCGACAACAGACTCCGAGAGTCTTGAAGTTCTGTTACCACCGCCCCTGGTGCAACCCCTTACGGGTTAACGATGAGGAGACAGGGACTTCCAGGGACGGTCATGGCCTGCTACATGCAACTCGTAGGAGTATGCAATGTTCCTGTAACGTCACTGTAGACCACTCCTCTGTCGTTGTTTTGAGTGTCCGATCCAAAAACCAAATCCTAGGGTACACGAGACGTGGAAGCCTGTGAGCGTGTTAGAGTCTGTTAAGTGTTAGAGTCCTAGGGCTACACGAGACGTCGTAGCCTGTGAGCGTGTTAAATCCTAGGGTTACACGAGACATGGTAGCCTGTGAGCGTGTAGACCGCTCCTCTATCGTTGTTTTGAGTGTCCGATCCAAAACCAAATCCTAGGGTACGAGGCGTGGTAGCCTTTGAACGTGTAAAATCCTGGGGTTACACGAGACATGGTCAGGGACGTAGCCAGGATTTTTCTTTGAGGGGGGCTGTCGGCGAGCGAAGCGAGCCGACGCGTCCAATCAAGCTGCGCAGCGAGCAAGCTGTGGCAGGGGTCTGGGGGCGCAGCCCCCAGCGGGGTCCAGGGGCGGAGCCCCTTGGCGGGGGCTAGGGGGGCGCAGCCCCCCGGAAATTTTTTGCGAAACAGGGTGTTTTAGACGACATTTGGCATTAAAGAAATTTTTAGGACAGCAATAAACTGGGATTGAAAAGAATCAAGTACTCACGTAAATTTGGTAACTTCACAACAGCAATCTGCATTCTCCAATCAGAATTTACGACTTACTCAGGCCTCATCGTCTTAAGATTTTTACATTTCCTACGGTCTAGGGGACACTATTGACTATAATTATAGAAGTCTTCTAGAATGTTTGCTTGGATTTAATGACATATATTTACTAATCCACAGTTCAAATCTTTGACTGACTGCAGTCATAAACACAGCCCAGTTACCAGGCGACCATGGGGACTAGGGGGCTTATCTTTTTTCTGGGGTTCGATTTTTTCCGGGGGGGCTGCCGCCCCCTAGCCCCCCCCCCCCCCCTGGCTACGTGCCTGGACATGGTAGCCTGTGAGCGTGTAGTCCGCTCCTCTATCGTTGTTTTGAGTGTCCGATCCGAAACTAAATCCTAGGGTACACGAGACGTGGAAGCCTGTGAGCGTGTTAGAGTCTGTTAAGTGTTAGAGTCCTAGGGTTACACGAGACGTGGTAGCCTGTGAGCGTGTTAAATCCTAAGGTTACACGAGACTTGGTAGCCTGTGAGCGTGTTAAATCCTGGGGTTACACGAGACGTGGTAGTCTGTGAGCGTGTAGACCGCTCCTCTATCGTTGTTTTGAGTGTCCGATCCGAAACTAAATCCTAGGGTACACGAGGCGTGGTAGCCTGTGAACGTGTAAAATCCTGGGGTTACACGAGACATGGTAGCCTGTGAGCGTGTAGACCGCTCCTCTATCGTTCTTTTGAGTGTCCGATCCAAAACCAAATCCTAGGGTACACGAGACGTGGAAGCCTGTGAGCGTGTTAGAGTCTGTTAAGTGTTAGAGTCCTAGGGTTACACGAGACGTGGTAGCCTGTGAGCGTGTTAAATCCTGGGGTTACATGAGACGTGGTAGTCTGTGAGCGTGTAGACCGCTCCTCTATCGTTGTTTTGAGTGTCCGATCCAAAACCAAATCCTGGGGTTACACGAGACATGGTAGCCTGTGAACGTGTCAAATCCTGGGGTTACACGAGACATGGTAGCCTGTGAGCGTGTATACCGCTCCTCTATCGTTGTTTTGAGTGTCCGATCCAAAACCAAATCCTGGGGTTACACGTCATGTGGTGGCCTGTGAGCGTGTTAGTTTCCTACGGAAGGTGTTATTTGCCTGTGGGAAAAGCGGTTATGCTGCGGTTCTAAGGTTAGTAGAGGCTATTAGAGCCTTTCCTTGTTGTAGAGATGGCTAGTCCCTTCCTTTGTATAGGTTAGAAACACCCATGCACCTCCCGTTCGAGCCACCCACCCCACACCGCGTGGAGGTTCGATGAGGTTTTTCGTGGGGCATGAAGTAGATGTATCACTCAGAGTCTATTAGCTGTTGACTTCCTCCCTGACCATTGATAAATATCGACAGGATATAAATGTTTAAGGAATTTGATCTTTCAGGATTGATACCTCAGATTCAGGTCGCGTATTAACACATGATCAGATCATGTACTTTCGATTTGAAAAATTATGCAGTAAATATACCAGCGATTAAATATCTAATGTTTTCCTAAATTTAAAATAAATCGATCATTGACGCTCAGATAAATTTCGAACCCTCATTAGCTTGCCACAATGTGGCCTTTTCTGTCATTTTAAACCCTATTTTGTGCTCCTAACGGCAGAAACAAATTTGTAAAGTGTATCATTAGGGCGCCTGGAGATAATAAGCTCTAGCTAGTTGTGCCCATCAGATCCACCTTGCGGTGGTTTCTAGGACTATGGACAACACACTCCTGCATAGAAATGCTTGTTAGTTCCCAGACTGTTCTATATTTATATACTAATTGATCCTAATTGCAAAGCAAAAACCGTATTTTAAATTCAATAAAAGTGGAATGTTAACAAACCTGGCATGAAGAGAGATGAATTGTTTAGTTCGGTCCGCAGATCTGGATCTGTGTTTCCTCGGTTTTGGTATCGAGAGCAGGGAAGCTTTGCTGAGCTGTGAACCGACCGATCCTAAACTCTGATCTGTGGAGGAATCTGCAGGCGAATAGACTGGTAATGGGTGGTTTGTGGGGGCTTCAGTCAGATATATTATCCTGTCTCTTATTCTATAGTTAACTTTTATCAAACTCGATCGAAACATGTGTGCAGCAGCGCAGCAGATTGCACAGGAACAAATTAAACCAACGTGGAGCAACAATAATGTGCCATTTTAAAGGCAAACCACCCCATGACCTAAATTGTATTTTCCAGACGGCTGAAAGTTCTAATGACATGGCTTACCGGTTAACAGTGCAGGTTTTCTAGTTGTCATGTCATGCTAACTGCTCCAAAGTATTGCTGTCATTTGCTTCTACCAAGGTCCAAACTGATGAAGTTTAAACTGCTTTAACTTCCTGCATCTAGCGCAATTACCATGCTGATAATTTGGAGTATTTAGTTGGGAAAGTAGAGAATTCTACATTGGCAGCAGTTGAGCGGGTGTGCATTATTAGATCTAATAATTAAATGTTATATTAGCCAAGTAAAAATGCTGCCTGGGAAGCTACTGTATAACTATGTAATATTCTGTTTTATATTTCACGTGGTCATAATTAAATCTTGACGACAAAATATACAAAATTATGTCATACGAGAGCAATGGGCAAGTTTTAAATTCTCAGGAATCTGAATGTACACTCAAGTGACTATGTTGTAATTATATTCATGATAATAACAATCTTAAAATCACATGATCGATCAATTTATGTCTGTCAACGCCTGAGCTCAATCGTGGTTTGCTCGTCAACTGGTAAAAGTCACGTGTGTTCACGACATCCAACAGTATAAATATATGAATTTTATATATTTGTGTAGATTTTTCGCTGAATTATTCTTGTAAAGACTTCCTCAATAAATTCGAAACCACAGTTGCCAATCAACATTTTTTAAAGCTGTCAAAGTATTCACTAGTATAGGGACCGTTTAGATATTATCTTAGAAAGTGTGTCTTTCTGTCTGTTTGTCTGTCTGTTTGTCTGTCTGTCTGTCCGTCTGTCTGTCTGTCTGTCTGTCTGTCTGTCTGTCTGTCTGTCTGTCTGTCTGTCTGTCTGTCTGTCTGTCTGTCTGTCTGTCTGTCTGTCTGTATGTCTGCGTGCGTGCGTGCGTGCGTGTATGTGTGTGTGTGTGTGTGTGTGTGTGTGTGTGTGTGTGTGTGTGTGTGTGTGTGTGTGTGTGTGTGTGTGTGTGTGTGTGTGTGTGTGTGTGTGTGTGTGTGTGTGTGTGTGTGTGTGTGTGTGTGTGTGTGTGTGTGTGTGTGTGTGTGTGTGTGTGTGTGTGTGTGTGTGTGTGTGTGTGTGTGTGTGTGTGTGTGTGTGTGTGTGTGTGTGTGTGTGTGTGTGTGTGTGTGTGTGTGTGTGTGTGTGTGTGTGTGTGTCTGTCTGTCTGTCTGTCTGTCTGTCTGTCTGTCTGCGTGCGTGCGTGCGTGCGTGCGTGCGTGCGTGCGTGTGTGTGTGTGTGTGTGTGTGTGTGTGTGTGTGTGTGTGTGTGTGTGTGTGTGTGTGTGTGTGTGTGTGTGTGTGTGTGTGTGTGTGTGTGTGTGTGTGTGTGTGTGTGTGTGTGTGTGTGTGTTTGTAATTTCCGAGCGGCTTAATCAAGAAAACGGTAAGAGTTACGGGACTGGTTTTTTCGGTATAGTTTCGACAAAACTCTGACGAAACCAAATGAATACGGTATTTCAAATTGGTCGGTGGTAAATGGTTTAATTGATGGTTTTGTACCACAAATGTGACATAAATCTTTTTTTCTCCCTCCTCGCTCTCTCTTCCCATTACTGCATATTATGTAGCGTTGGTACATGAATCATAATTAGGTTATACTATAAGTTAATACTATAAGCTTATTAGGGGGGATAGCACTCATTGCGGTCTGTTTGGACTGTAGAGAGAGAGAGAGAGAGAGTTCATACTTTCATACGACAATGTTATGCGTGTTTTCAAATATAATAGGCGGGTTTATACTTTTGCATTTCCACTGCGATAGTGAAGTCCCGGCCGTAGGCACGGGTTACACTAGTGTTAATATGATTTTGCAGATTTTAAACCCCCACTTCCCCTTCTGTCATATAGCTTTTTGTATAAATAATATTAGCATTTCCTTCTCCTGCAGATCTGCAGATAATATGTAATATGATGTAATATAACAATTTTGAGCGCTGTTTTTCATCATCATGGCTAAGTTCAGAAATAATACCAAGTACAAATGGGTAGAAAGCAGTTAAACTTAAGCAGTATTAGTAATCGGAAAGTTAAAATCTAAACACAAACAAATCATATGTTAAAATAGTACTGAAGTTAGATAACACTCGATGCTTTAAAATTAATGAACGCAATAATAAATAATTAGATAATAATTAAAATAGCCCTTCCATTTTGGCACCATTTACCTACATAATCAAATCATGTTGGTTGTGCAATCAAAAATGTGTTTAGATAAATTATGTTGTTTCTACTTAATTATGTATGCTTCATTTATTTGGGTACTATTGCCAAGGAAATCCCTTTTTAAAAGAACAAATTTATGAATCGTCACGTGTTATTGCTGTTAGCCGTTATGTAGAAACAACATTGTTATTATGAGGCTCCTTCTTAGTTAGGCTCAAGCCAACAGAAGCTCTCTTTTGAAGGAGCTCTATAAAAGATCTCATAACGAGAGGGATATTCTTTATTTCACCTTTATTTCACCTTCGACAGTGACCACCTGTCCGCAGGAAGCGTTAGTTTATGTAATCCCTGTAGTTAGTGTAGTTGATACCATGGCTGATGGCACTGAACGCGGACTGGCTCCCCCGCGAATCACTGCCAAGGATTAATCTGACGAGAGCGTGGGTCTGATAAGATATTGTTAGGATTGAACATATGCAGCCTCTACTTCGTAAGTTTAATCATGCTAATCAAATTCCTCCGAAACTCTGTCAAGTTAAGTTGTTAAATCGCATTTGAAACATCACCTGATCCACGTCATGTCCAATAACAATGGGTAAGACTTGTTAATTTCACCGTTCCCCGGTTGAACAAAGCACTTAATTGACTTTTCTGCGGCCAAACGAATTAGGTCAGAAAAATTTGAACTTGCTAGATTTTGAAGATAAGCTATAAGGTAGAGTTAGACTGAAAGAGTCATTTCCACAAGATTTTCGGCGATTTCAAGTTGAAAAATGAAGTGTTTATTGTTAATGGCAGGTGTGCTCTCGGCAATAGCTGCGCACTCCTGGATGTCATGTCCCCCCTCTTTTGATACAAGTCCCGGACGAGGTGGCAACACAGGTCAGATCCCCTCCTTGATTCGACCATGACAGGGCACGTGATGATGGGCCTGTAATCTTGTGATTAAACATTTGTGTGTCACTCAATTGTTATGCCGTCTACAGTAGTCTCTCAGAATTTGTCATTGGATTTCTAATTCGTCCCGATGACAAATTGCAAAAACATTTGCAACCCGAACCTATAGTTTTATTAAGAATCATAACTATTATCAAGAGTCCAGGTAAATATACTAAACATTTTATTTGATCTCAATACAGTTGGCCCCTGTGAACGGGAGGGTAGGAAGAAAATAGTGACGAATGTGAAGGCTGGAGACAGACTTAAGGTCGGCTGGACCAGCAATAATCACGCCGGGGGATGGGTCAGACTTTCTCTCGTACCTGAAGGTAGGCTATTATCCATCTACACCAGTCCATACACTGCCATGATGTGGACATTTGCATTGAAAAATGATGGGTTTTAAATTCAAAAGTTATAATTTTAAACCCATTAAAAACATATCTTAGTAATAATTATCATTATGCCAAAATCAGGACAACATAAGTGTACGAACACTTTGAGCAGAATGTGCTTAAGGTAGTGTGTTATGGGCACGATGAGAGAAAAGGAAAGACAAGCTATGGTGACTGTGTTCATCCTTGCAATGCAAGGAAGGGTTGCGAATACATGGCCAATAAATATGACGGCAATAGGTTAGTCTGAAATGTGTGTTGATTTGAGATTTAGATCTTTCACCTTATATTTACCTTATATAAGGTTAAGAAAATGGATATAAATTCTAATCAATATGAATAAGTGGGACTACCTGTGTCCTGTTACATATTAAACTATTTAAATGAACAGCAAACATAATACCAAAAACTCAGGTACGATACAACCATCAAGATTCCCTACAATCTGCCGGAGGGTGTGTACGTTCTCCAATACATGAGTGCTATGAGTGCTCACAAGACTTTCTATTACTCCTGTGCTAGAATCAAGGTGACCTTACCATTATCCTTTTAAGAATGACAACTCAAGATTTCATCATATCTAATTATCATTAAATAAATACATATCAATACTTCAACACGACTTTCACTATCCAAAAATCAGATTTCAGGGGGAAAGCCGGCTCTGCCTTGCAAAAGAACCGGTTTGGCTCCAGTAGCATACGGCTGTATGAAAGGTATGGCAGTACCTCTTTCTAAATATGAGAAGGACACGAAGATGGGTAATTTCTGTTTCTCGACATCTGGACTTGGGGACCAGGTCAGATTGCCAGATTATCTAACTTCATTATTATCCTCAATCACAGAATCTCTTGAACATGTTTAAAAATGTGGTTATTGTAAGATAAGAGCTCCCATTTTGTTGCTGTTGTACTGTTATAGTTTTATCTTTGTATACGTCGAGGTCTGAAATAAACCTATAACAGGACGCTGATATAAGGAAAGTGCCAGTAAACGCAGACTGTGATCCTAGAATCACGTGTCAGTTGAGTGTCCAGTATAAGAGATGTATGGAAGCAGACAATAAAATGAAGGACATTACAAACGCATCAGATCCTAAACAAGTCTGTTCTGGGGTAAGTTCCACAAAATATGGTTAGTTTAGTCTGTATTCCAAATCATGTTATTGGAAGTGTGTAGAAAAATCAAAAAATATGATTTAGCGTTTAAACGTTTTGAAGGCTGCAAGTAAAGCTCAACCGACAACCACCAAGAGAACTATTCCCCCGTATGGCAGTGGGATGGCCATTTTGACGAACAGATTGTACAATATAGACATTAGTCGACTATCATATCTGACACCTTCGCAATATTCTATTAATCGAATATTACCAGAATGTAGTCCCCCGTGGCAATCATTCAATATTAGCTAAGTAAGTGACAAATACAGATCAAAGGAGCGAACGGTTTTGAAATACGTAACGACGGTTAAGTTTCCCTCCAGGTTGTGGAGTGGTGTAAATAGTCTCGTTACACAACTCTGCAATCGTTTATTGAGCAAGCGGTAGCACCGTACAGCTTACAAAAACATAATAGCCAATAGTAATGATGCAATAGTAACACAGCAGACTGAATGCAAAATCTTCCTTGAATGGTATAAACTATAAAGTGATGTGTGTTCGTTGGTTACCATGGTAACGATGAAATATAAAAGAACCGTAACTTACCGACCGTTCTATTTTAGCAAATTAGAACCGGTCAATCCTCTTACAGTATGTAAGGCCCCTCCAGACCTCATTTATCATTAGACTGACCTCGCAGGAAGTAAGGCCCCTCCAAACCTCATTTATCATTAGACTGACCCCCCCCCCCCCCCCCCCAGGATGTAAGGCCCCCACCGGAACCCACGTGTAACGATGGCAAAAGGAACAATGGTGAGCAGATGGTGGACTGTGGAGGTCCCAACTGTGACGCCTGCTACGAGGAACCCACCGAGCCAGTGGATGAGAGGATCTACTCGTGAGTATTCTTCCTAGGAGCTCTTCAGCTCTTTACACACTTTTAAGCGAACGAGCTTGGACCTACTTTGATCTTTCATGTGCCCTCAAATTTTCGAACATAGTTTTGCGATTTCATGAAATTGATCGTTCTGATCTGGATCAAAGGGATTCCTCTTTTAATATGCAAATTTGTCTGGATTATAAAATACCAGAATGTAACTTGTCGAACCGTGTGATATTAGAGTATTTTAATTTAGCATTAGTTATAGTTGGTAGCCTACGTTTAAAAGGAAATCACCAGCACTACGAGAGAGTGCTGCAAAATCAACAGAGCAATAAATCAACTCTTTTAGAGCGGCTCTCCAAATATCCAAATAGAGACTAATAGTTTTTTAATCGCTGTAATCTGCCTTGAAATACGAAGGGGATCGATAAATACACGAGACCGGGGAGTCGAACTGATGCATTACAAATTAAAGAGTTTAAAATCTCTCCTTCTGAGCAGTTTAAGTTAGGCGACTTCATTTAACTCATTTAAATCTATTTACGTGGTTAACTTTACGGATCATATATTCTTGTATTCTTTGGCAGAGATCTGAAGTACAAAGAGAAGGTTCTATTAGAGCGAGGGATGATGGAGGTGCGGGCATCTCTAGTTGTTAAGAAGGCTGCAAACGACTGGCGATTTGCCATTTTCCTGGATAAACCAGTAAAATGGACTCATTTTTGGAACTGCAAGCTCATCAGTGTCAACAAGTATAACACAGTAAGTTTCTTTCAGATCGTTAGATTTCACGCAAAAGGATTGGATAGATGGAAATATCAATTTGAGAGCGTCTGTAACGATAAAGAAGAAAGCTAATGATTGGCGCTACACCATGTTCTTCACTAAACCGGTCGATATAAGATCTCATTGGGGCTGTAAGGTTATCAGTGTCAATGAGTTCCAAACTGTAAGTTATAAATGTTCCTCACGTTCATCAGCCATAATTGTCGCCCTATAGCTACCATTCAATTGAGATTATATAGTCCAGACAGTAGCCTCATTTGCAAAAATTGTTTTATCAAATTGAGATAACTTGATGAATAATATTGTAATTGTCAAATAAATCTGAAGGTCACTAATCTAAATCCCAAACTGACACAAACTATGTCCCAATCGTTTCCGATAAAAAGCTTGACACACATCCTCAGTTATTTCATATAAAATATTTGTGATAACTGATAACCTTAACAATTTCTGCAGATCTGGACATTTGGTCCCATGCCATGGACCAAGAAAGTTAAACCAGGACAGAAAATAAACCTTGGATTTAACGGCAGGTTCGAATCTGACGGAGAGGCTCCACAAACCGTGACCAAATCTTTCGTCGGTAAGCTTTATAAAACACCACTAACATTCTTTACCTTAAACGAAATTCATATCATGTTGTGAAATTCTCGATAATGTTAAAACTTGAGAGGATTGCCACAAACCTGCAAACCGGTTATTTGTTGTAAAATATTAGCGGGTGTAACGTGAGTTGTTGCAGTTAACCCGGGTACCATTTTAACATAGAAACCATTCCACATTAATTCTGAAGAAGGCGGTTTAATCATAATTCGTAACTAATATTTAATTCGCTCAATTTCAGAATACAAGCCCGATGAATTGGAGTAACATAAAGGCGTTGAAGAACTGTACATTTTATGTTTTTCTTCGTTAATGACGTCGGTATCGCCATCATATCAGTTAATTTGCAGTTTTTTAAAAATTTCGTGCGAAATGAATATCATTGGTTGTAATGAAGTATAATACTATGTATAATGCCACCTGAAAATTCTATCCATTCAAATGACTTCATCTCCTATTATATGCTACATAAACACAAACTATTGGAGATATTGTCGATGAAGAATTAATATTGGAATTAAAATCACGCTCATCATTAATAATTGCAATCATAATCACTAGAATTATGAGCAAATTTACAAAAAATTGAATAGATTCTATATATGCCCATCTATGCGGAAATGATCATAGAGAATTCGTCTACGTTCATCTGTCCGTTGAATTGACCTAATGCAATTCAATGTCAGACAACTTTACAGAGCAATGAGGGCAATTATACTGTAGATTTAGTACGATAATTCACACAGATATAATTGCTCATTTCTACTTTTCGATTTCTCAATTCTCTTCGTTGATCGTACTGTTATGTAAAGTTATCCAAGTCTGATGGTCCAAGACTGATGGTCCGAATGAATAAGACAGATGGCTGTTTTAGCCTTGTTCTCTTGATGGCCTTTGGAGCTATCTCTGCCGTGGATAAAGGTATGCTTTGAAAAGATACTGTTATAAAACATGTAGTGTGTACAGTACAGTATGTAGGTACCTAGTTTATACAGTATTGTACCTAGTTTATGTAATATGTACTCCGAGTTAACCACATTAACAAGGTACTGCTCAGCAATCGAAAGACTAAAAAATACTCAATATCAACTGTAAAATAAATACTGAAATGAAAGTTACACAAAATTAATGGAACTGTTCTATCTATTGTTCCCGGAGTTGAGATTTAAAAGCATTTCCTGTGTACAATGTTAGGTCCAGATTCGTCATACTCCTGCTTGGAGATCCACATCTGCTGGAAAGTGGATAGGGAAGCCAGGATTGAGCCACCAATCCAGACGGAATACTTCCTCTCGGGAGGAGCGATCACTTTAACCTTCATGGTGGGAGGAGCTAGGGCAGTGATCTCCTTTTGCATCCTGTCAGCAATACCCGGGAACATAGTGGTACCACCGGACAGAACTATGTTAGAGTAGAGATCCTTCCGGATGTCAACGTCGCACTTCATGATCGAATTGTAGGTCGTCTCGTGAACTCCTACATTTTCCATGCCGATAAATGAAGGCTTGAAAAGGGTCTCTGGGCATCTAAATCGCTCGTTTCCTATCGTGATTACTTGACCATCAGGTAGCTCGTAAGACTTTTCCAAGAAGCTTGCCTGAGCAGCTGCCTGCATTTCTTGGTCGTAATCCAACGCGACGTACGACAGTTTTTCCTGATAAAATAACGTAATTCATACCCTAGTTAAATGTTATATATGACTCACTTTTATTATAATGCTCAGAAATGGAAGGAGCTTCTTTGAATCTTTACTCTTTAGTGTGGAAAATCTGACAGATTGTCACAAATAGTTTTAACTTTTGATGGCAATTGTTGAAAGAATATTTATCGATCAGGAAACACGAACTGACCTTGATGTCCCTGACGATTTCTCTCTCAGCAGTTGTAGTGAAACTATAGCCCCTCTCAGTCAGTATCTTCATGAAGTAGTCCGTCAGGTCCCTCCCCGCTAAATCTAGTCTCATGACAGCATGAGGAAGGGCGTAACCCTCGTATATTGGAACAGTGTGGGATACCCCGTCCCCAGAATCTAGAACAATGCCAGTCGTCCTACCAGAAGCGTAGAGGGACAGAACAGCCTGGATAGCTACGTACATTGCGGGACAATTAAACGTTTCGAACATTATCTGGGTCATCTTTTCTCTGTTGATCTTCGGATTTAAAGGAGCCTCAGTCAGGAGGACGGGGTGTTCCTCGGGGGCAACACGGAGCTCGTTGTAGAAAGTATGGTGCCAGATCTTCTCCATATCATCCCAGTTGGCAACTATCCCGTGTTCTATAGGATACTTCAAGGTTAGAATACCTCTCTTGCTCTGAGCTTCATCTCCAACGTAAGAGTCCTTCTGTCCCATCCCTACCATTACACCTTGATGTCGAGGACGTCCAACGATCGAAGGAAAAACGGCTCTGGGAGCATCGTCTCCAGCGAACCCTGCTTTCACGACCCCTGTTAAAATTAAAATTTTAAACTAATTACAACACTACAAATCTATTACATTTATTGAGAATTATGTAATGTAACGTGATGGAAATATTTAAAACGGGCATATCCTGTCCAAACCCAGGATGCACTAAATGAAGAATTCGTTGTAAGGTTGTTTGAAAAGCATTAATAGGTAAATTAAGACATGCATTATAGCTCTGAAAGCAGAGCAAATAACCACTAACCAGTTGATAAGAATATCAATGGGGTACATTTTAATTTGCAATTGCTTACCTGAACCATTATCGACAACCAGAGCAGCAACGTCGTCCTCCTCCATTTCAGTATCAGAGTCTGATCCTCACAGTTTAGCAGTAGGTTACTCAGAATGAGAACAAAATAAGTTTAGCTCACACGGCATCTAGGTGTGTTTTAAACCGACCCACGAACGAAGTCACGTGATATTGACACGTCACTATAGAACACTTGCAATCCTCGGGAAAAACTCTTTAATGACCATATTTGGTGATAATAAGACCATCCAGGATGTTTGGGTTACTCTAGCGCCAAAGGGAAGCGGTGAAGATAAACAACAACAAAGTTTATGATGCATGTTCACCGATAAATATGTTGGTTAATTGTTGAGAGCTATAATATTGATGGTGCGAGAGACAAGTTTTTGTGGTTAATATGCAAGTGTCATAATACATTGGTTAAATTCATCTGGTGGGTCAGCATAGTCTATTCTCGTTCAGACTTCAGTTAACTGAATCAAGGCAGTAAGGTAGTACGTTTTCATGAAAAGTCGGGGTGAGATGTGCCGAGAGCAGGAATTGAACCCACAACCTCCCGAAAACATTGGTTAAATAATTGATTATTCATTTTGTTTCCAAAATCAGTAATTCTGACGAGAAGAGATTAATTCTAGTGGTCAGAAATATTTTGCGTTCGAATGAAAGAAATAAAAATCACTCGCAAGAAGATATACCACATGTGAAAAAATAACGTAATAAAAATTGTTAACATTTTCACTTTTTGATACGCACTAAATTAGCATGATACTTTTTTTTAAATAGCAATAAATTGCGATATCATTTAATATTAACAACCACCTAACTATCTTATCGTATTCTATAATAAATGAATATTTGTTAGAATTCAGCTCAAAATCTAACATCCTAAATCAGCTCAATGTCTTATTGTACTCCTCTTCATTTTTAAGACGTTCGATTTTTAAAACGTGTTAATTTCATCGTTAAAAATATTTTCAGAAGTACAAATTAAAATGAAAAAGTATTAATAAAATAAGAACCCAGCTCAAAGCAATATATTTTTTGTTACTTTAAATACTTACAAAAAATCCAAAAACAGCTAAAAATTGCAAGAAAATTAAAAAAATTTAATCAGCTAAATGCCTTTAATCGTATTCAGCTTAGATTTTTAGAAGTATTAACATATAATAAAAATAGAACTCAGCTCAATACAAAAAAACCCTCTAAAACAGCTAAAAATTGCAAGAAAATTGAAAATTATCGATCAGCTTAATGCCTTCAATCGTATTCAGCTTCATTGTTAAATCCGTTTAATTTTATTATTTTTAGATTTTTAGAAGTATGTATTAATAAAATAGAACTCAGCTCAAAGCAATATAATGCTGATACTTTAACATACTTACAAAAACAGCTAAAAAATTGCCGTTTAGACTTATTATTTTTAGATTTTTAGAAGAACGTATATAATAAAGAAGAAGAACTCAGCTCAAAACTATTGTCTTCTCAGTTTTCTGATATCTTAATGGACTCTGATAGTCAAGGTCTTTCTGATAGAAAACAGTACATATGACAAACCCTAAATTATTCTGTGGCAGTCTCAAAGTGGGTTCTCTCTGCATTCTTCTACTCTGTCTTTTCTTCTTTTCCTGTATTTGACACAACTTCTCCGGTTTCTGCAACTGTCCCTTGCCATATTCTATCCCATCCAGCCCGTAGATAGCATGCCACAAACTTGAATACCTTCACCACATAATCTACGATTGTGTTCTCGTAAAGCAGTGGATTAATTACCGAGTTGATGGGAAGAATTGCGATGGTGAAAAGAGGGTAGAGCTCCGTGGCATCGTAGGTCCCTCCGAAGTGGAGCCAGCCCGCGACGGTAAACGGCAGCAGGCAGAGGAAATTAGTCACCACTATGGCGGTAATTTTCCTCTGGAGATTTCTGTTTCGTATCTTGGCACCTTTGTCGTCGTTGCTGGCCACGTTCTTGGCAGACTCGGCGGTCCGGGAGTAGATAAGGACGTAGCAGATGGCGATCACCACGCCACATGCTAAATTCACAACGGAAACTCCGAGACTGAACCACTTCTGGGAATCCTCTCTGGTCACCAGGTACTTGAACACACACACACCGTCATTGCCATAGAAATGGATGGTCTTCCCGGTAACACCTGCATAGGAGTTTATTGAATCGCGTGAGAACAGCCACTAAAAGTAGATATTATTATGGAAGAAGGGATCATAAAAAGTTATATATATTGTTAGTCAGCCACAACTGTCAGTAAAACAACGCCTTGACTTCAAATTTCGGTAAAATATACTACCTTTACAGTCATCCTCAATAAATGTAATAGATTTGTAGTGTTGTAATTAGTTTAAAACTAAACTAATACATTGATTTACTCAATTTGAAACTTACCACCATAATCGTTCGAGAACATCTCTCCCACTAACATTCTGATGTTCTTCCAGGATAGCTCCCTAAAGTGGAGTCGACCAAAATGTGCTTTAAGGATGTTAAAGTGGGTGACCTTATCAACTGAGGCAGTAAAGATTGGATGGTCATGGTAATAGAGGCCATTCACAAAAAAATCTTCGAAGGCCGGGACAAGGGGAATAACTGCACATGGGATTGCCATTGCAAAAACAGTTGCTACGGTTGCAAACACTTTCAGCCTTTCATATCGTCCATCGTCCAGTCTCTTCTGGATCATTTGTCCAAAAGTAGACACTCTAAGAATACTAAGAGCGCACATAGAGAAAAGAGAGAGTTGGTATGCCATGTTGTTTACCACGCCAAGGGCAGCGCAGCTCTTGCTGGAAAGCCACAAGTATTTGTTTCTGCAATAGGTGTCCTTGTAATACAAGTCAGTGGACGCCAAGACCAGCAGATAGCACCCAACCACCGTGTCACTTAGACCAATTGTCGCAATCAGCGCATGGTTCTTTGCCACATTGCTCAGGTCAGTTTGCAACAAATTTCTGAACGACGTCGCCATGACGACGCAGTTGAAAGCGACTGCAGATGCCCCCAAAGACCACGCTGACATTCTCAGTGCGTAACTTCCAATGATGCGTTTACCTTTAGAACAATCAGAGTTACATTCGTCTTCAAAGTCCCGGCAATCCTCGAAGCCGTCACATTTAGAAGTTAATGGAATGTGCTCCTTGTGGGCGGGACAGTAGAAGCTGTTTCCGCAGTTTGTTTCATCACTCTCGTCACCGCAGTCGTTCACTAAGTTGCACACCTTATCATACGGGACACATTGATTATTGTCGCAGGGAAACAAATCGTCTCCATATCTGTTTCCCGACATCTTGACCATGAGTGAGAGTTTGGAGTTTTTGGACATCGCATAAGACTTTTTTTGTACGTTAACGCAACTGTCTCGTTCGATGGGTTTAAGCACACATTCGGTGTTGATACAGCGATCGGAGCAGCTCAGATAAACCAAAGCCTCTCCGAAGGTATGGGTGCAATCTACCGGTGCTATGGGCAAGTCAAGGTATGTTATTGAAGCAAGGACAGACCTACTAGGACAATCTTGGTAAAATGGAAGCCTCTTTTGACAGGAACTGACATCCATTTGAAGGTACTCAAGACCTTTAATGCAATGAAGGAGCACCTTGTGAGATGTTTCATACTTTAAAACATTGTTCATGGTTGTAGCCTGGTTCCTAGACTCCATGCACACATCATTCTCCCTCCCACATGTGTTTATTCTATCACACATCTCAAAAAACTGGATGAACTTCACTTGGCCCACCTGACCACACAAATAAACTTCCTCACATATCGTGCCTATCTCACCATATCTTATGAGATCTTCTTCAAGCCCACACTTGTCCCACGAGTTCACATTTTCATCTTTGCCGTCCACGCAATCTACAGTTCTGTCAACAACCCATTTAGCCGGTATTTTCAACAGTTTACTACTCTTGTATGGAAATCTCCTGACACAGGTGCTGTCGAAAAGTTTTCGGCAAACGGTTGCCTTCTCGTCACCGCCCCCCGGACAGTCTTCAAAACTGTTGCACAGTTCAGTTTTGTGGATGATGCAACCTCCTTCCGCACTAAAACAGGCGTCATCATAGCCGTCGTCACACTGTTTGTAACCCTTACAGATCGCTAGCTTGGACACAAATGCTTCTTCGCCTTCTATAGGACAGGAGAGACCTATCCTACTTTCATCGTAACAGTTTATCTGTTCTCGCCCGTCTGTACAGATCTTAGCTGGATTTTCAGGAGTAGCTGGTACGGCGCATATCTGGCTGGGGTAAAGGTTACGAGTAACGTCTCCGTTCATACACTGACGTGTGACCTCTTTTGGGTCGCATCGCTCATCTTCCCCCTCATAACAGTCCTCCGTCCCATCACAGAGGCTATTAGCGTAGAGATACTCTTTGAGAACCTTACTTCCTCTATTGTTCATAACCTTGCATTTCAGTCCGTAGATAACGCCGTTACAATCCCCTTCATCGTCACACAGGGGACAGTCACACTTAAGATCACACACTTTAGATGTATGGATTTTTTCCTGAACAGTTCGTGGTCCTATTGTCTGAAAGCTACAAGAGTAAATGTCATTAGAACCAGTTGAGTCGATCAGAAGGCGCTCCTCAGCTCCAATAAACTCTGTCGTATCTGTGTCGCAGAAAGCCTCGTCAAGAATTGTATTTTGGCAGTCGTAACGACGGTTGCAGTCTATATATTGTAGCACCTGTGAGCCAAATTGGGGGATAGTCATTCCTAATTTCACTGCACCATCACAAATAAAAGTTCCGCATAGCAGGTCATTCCCCCGGTGTGTGGTGAATCCTTCACATCCATCTATTCCACAGGCCTGAAAATATGTTGGCTCATTTTCGCAAATTCTATCTACAGCAATTTGCTCACAAAAGTTTCTATTCCCAGATGAGACGATGCCGTAGTACTCATCCGAAAGCATGCATTTGTACCAGGTTATGTCGTCAAAGATGCAGAATGTCTTCCAATACTGCAAGTCTAACGTCCCAGATCCGATACCTGCAGTCTGACAATCCTTGAACTCTCGAACCTCAGGTCTAAAGCTTGTGATAGGGGATTTAATTGAAGCATCTATAGGAGAGACAAATTTTATCCAAACGATGTTCTTTTCAAGCCA